TTGTTATTTTGTTAAAAATACGAATAATATTATCAAAACTTGAAAAGCAATTGTACGATTGTGCGGAATTGCTAATATCAATAATAAAATTAATAATATTACTGAGCAACACCTGTAAGTTGTATTTTTATAAAATGATTTTCTATATACATAATTTAATAGAATTCCGACATCACGATGAAATAAATCGTGAAAATCGATTTATTTCATTTTATTCACAGAATAAAACAATAAATATAAACAATAATTAAAGTTTATAAATGCGCACACTAAGCCATAAAGATATTCATTGTAAACATCTGAAAGGCATATTAATAGGCTAAGTCTATGTAGGCAAAATATATAACAAATAGAAAATAATGACATAGAGACATACAAATTAATATGTATCCTATATTGTTTAATTCATTTCTAATCCTTTTTATTTCATTTACTCGTTAGATTAGTTAAGTAATTATCATCTTGACTTTGATTGAATTTCTTAAAAAAGACGGCTATCTAAGCCCTTATTCTCGGTTTTATATAAAGTCTTAATATCACGTGTTAGGGCGCAAATATATTACCATAACTGGTGTGAGGTCCTGACGTCACAAAGATGTGAAGATCCCAGTGACTATGCTATAAAACCATCCATTAACAAAGTGAGCGAGTTTAGCCGACTCGTCTCCGATTAAGTGGTATACTGTTTAGGCAATAGCCTTTACCAATGGCTTTTCATACTTTCGTGTTGAATGTCTCCATACTGCTCATTGACAGATTGAAGCTAATCGCAGAGTACTAATTCTGTGCATATGTGATTTCTATAAGTCTATAACGTTGACATAATTATGTGTTTATGCAATTAATTTTTGTTTATAGAAAAACAATATGCAAACTTCATATAATTCCGGATTAAATTATTTTTACTTGGTAATTTTCAAAAAGAAAAAGTCTGAAGTTTATGAAAATAATTGAGAATTTATTAATAATTTTTATTTAATTCAAATCACTACAATCTGAATGTTAACTATCGTGTGTAATTTCGTCACTAAAATTTAAACGTCAAACTCATTTGAAATCCACTTACACAGATTACAATCGAAAGAAATACAAAACAATCGTAAACTAAAAAGTATTTTAACGTTTTTAAAGTTAAAAATGTTCCTTAATAATCCTTTTTTATGTGTTCTTGCATTGAAACTTCGTCGTCAAACTGAACTTGACACAAGACACATTGCAATTCATATCGATCGATTCTTAGTTCTGGGAAGAGAATGAAAGATATGGATGGTACCACATCTGTTTCGAAGGTAGTGTCTTTATGAATGTTTTCAAAATTATGTGATCACTTGTCATATTATAAACGATTTCTTTACGTTGTATTTGTGCTTTTTCGAAAACAATTTCTGCACTGTAACACGGATCAAATTCTTTTTTATTCCTCTCATTTAGGGGAAGGTGGTGCAAGATGGGGTCGTGGGGGAAGACGGGGACGTCTGTTTATTTGTGGTTAATGTTCTTTTATCTAGCTATTATTTGGAGAACTAAATGTCTACCTCGAAAGGGATCATGGAGAGAGAGAACGTCCAAATCGCTCTCTTTGTTTGGAAGTAAAATACCTTTTTCATGTTTCAGCAATACTTCATCTAATTTTATGCCTGCTAAAATGTTTCTACAAAGGAAGTATCATTATGAACTTTAACGTCACCTTTTAGATGAAGATATTTTGGTATTCGAAAACTGTAATTGTTTAGTTTTGAAATGAAGTTTACCTGTGTTTGCAGTCAGTATGAAAAGTGTACATTGGGGGGGGGCAAGATGGGATACCTGTCTAGCTTCAGGTTAAACATGAATATGGCCTATGAATTTAGAAGTATTTTCAAAGGCAAACTTTCTTTGCTGCAGAGACGACAAACAGGCCCCTTCAGCAAGGATGGGCCTAACAAGAAACAAAAGACAAATAACACAGAATCCCTCTATTGTGGAAGGTTATACTCTGTATTTACAGAGAGTTAGACTAAATGTAGCCGTTGTGATAAATGGGCACAATGTTCTTGTGCCAATATTGAAGAAAACGGCAGTTTAACCATTTTAATTTGTCCTCCTTGTATATAAAAATAATATCCCATCTTACCCCACGGTGGAGCAAAATGGTGCATTTACATATAATTTTAAAATATTAAATTTCCTTTTTTTAAAAACATTTTTCAAAAATTAAATTTTGTATTATATATTACCAAATATAGTGGCTGAAAATAAAAAAAAAAATTATTGTTCTCATTAAAGTCGTTGCCATCTTATGACTTTTCAAACCTTAACGTTCTCATCTTGCCCCACCTTCCCCTATGACGTTTTTAATATTGTCTTTTATATCCTGTAAATATACATTCCATAAAATTTAATATATACTATCCAAACATTCGAATATGTTTTATGAAACCAATTTGGATGTTATGATACAAAAATTTGTAATGCTTTATTTTTGAATGTGTATAACTTTTTGAGTGTCGGTTACTATAAACGTAGTTAGTCATTATATATTCAGTGCCATTCAAACAATTGGCGTGAAAACACTTTGTTACTGGCTGACGAAAAAATATTGGGCTGCAGTTTGAATAAATTACAGATTTATAAATTCCCACTGTCGTTTGTCAGTCCATCTATTTACGGTCTTTCTATAATTTCTAGAACGGAGTTAGATAAATGTAAGTCGAGACAAGATATGGAAATCTTAAAAGCAGAAGGCTACGAAAAATGTAATAATTTTATGCATTTAGTTAATAAAATTATGTACAAAGTGTTTTAAAATGTTTTTTATTAGAACATGTTATTTTATTACTTTGGTTTATTTTTATTATCTAACTTGTGTCAAGGTGCCATGGGATCATTTTCTATCCAGACACATTTCAAACTGATTTCTGATGAAAATACTTAATTCTATAAATTCAGTGATGTGTACAGTTCATTTTCTCATTTTAATATTCATAATAATGAACGGAAAAATTTATTTCTTTACATGATTTACGGATTTTATATGTTTCGTGCCATAAAGACCCAAAGTTGCCTTTTTGTATTACATTTAATTGGAGTTTATGCTGTTTATAACAAATAATCTAGAAATAAGTAATAATTAAATGTATGATTATTTAGTTCTTGTAATATGGAAATAGTTGTGTTTTTTTCTGGCGTAATAAATTAATCTCTTAATACAGTATGACGTTTTCATTTCTCTAATATATTTATATATGATCAAGCACTGCCAGACATTCATCACTCAATAATACTTTACTGTGAAATTAAAACAGATAAGCATATTGAAGCGAGTAAAATAGAGAGAAAATAAAACTAAAAAAGAAACAAATTACATATAACTCAGAAATAAAACGAGCAGAAGAGTAGCCAGTGTAACGATGGAAATCATTTCGATTGCGCTCCTCACAGCAAAATCATGTGTAAGAGATGTGAAAATATGTAATATTTTTTCCTATGAATAATACAAATATCAATAGAAGGAATATTTTTGAAATTTATTTAAATTTTAAGATGTTTTTGACAATGATTTTAACAATTTTAATGCCATTTAATAAATTTAACAATAATTGTAATATAAGCAGATTGAGAAGAAATCAAATAGAGTGGTGTAAGTCACGAGAGAGAGAAAAGTGAGAATTTATAGGAATCTGCTAGAGGAATGAAACTCGACGCGGTCAGTCGTAAATACGAGGAAACGGGAAAATATAATAAACTTTTGATAGATAATTTTAATGGAAGGAAAAACGTGGGGAACAGAATCGATAAAATTTTATAATATGAAAACACAATAGCTTTAAAAAAATCTTACAACGAGTTGCGTAACTTTCCCGGTTGTTGCAAGATTTTATTCTAAGAACATCATTTTAATTATTAATAACGTTTAATCTATTACAGACAAAAGAATGCTGATGAGTAAGAAAAAATTCATTGAAGTAATTTTGACGACGGAGACACGCAATAATCGCGAAATTTCGAAAGAGTATAACAGATTGCATTCAGACTCTTACAATCACACACATGCAGCGTGTTGTAATTTCGGCAACTTCTCGCTGATTATATTTTTCTATTGTGAAAATAAATTCAATTAATTCTTCCTTACTCGGAATTCATCTCAAATAATAAGCTGAGATTGATAATAATCATATAGTTATAGATTCATGTTTATACATACTTTCGTATACCAACTTAAAAATATGTACATTTGAGCACTATCTTAACAAGTTTTATTAATTTTTAAAACTTCTTGATTTGGATGTGGAATAATTACAATAAGTAACGACATTACTACTTTTATAGTATTAATCGAATATTTGTAAAAAATTCATTCCTAAAAAATTGTTGTAAACTTACTTTACACTTAGTGTGTGTTTTGTCTTCCGGGTGAAACTTTTTCTGGTGTCTCCTCTTCAATTGAGTTTTTAATGTAAATGATTCGTTGCAAATATTGCATGAATATGGCCGCTCTCCGGTGTGAGTTCTCATTTGTCCTCTGAAAGAATCGGAAGCGGAAAAAACTATTCCGCACATATGACATTTACGTCTTGTGACCTCCAGGTCATCTGGTGATATCTAATTACATAATAATTTAAGAAATAATTATTGGCAATACATTAAAGCATGCAACACTTTATACGTTATATCTTAAGTTATAAATATGTTAACTCTATAGTTGTAATGAATGGTAAATGCATAGTTTCGGTCCGACTTTATAAAGGTTTTCAATTTATGAATAGGCTCAGCGTGAGCTAACAGAATAGTATTTACGAAAAATGCAAGCAAATTAATCAACTCGTAATTTTTAAAGAATTTTTATCTTTAAAAGTAAATATTATAATAATAATAACTACTACTACTAACAATAATTCAGTCCTCCTCACGCCTTCTACAACTGTCCTCTCCTTTTCCTGTTCTCCCTTGTCTCTTCGGCAACGCCTCGTTTATTTTGTTAACAATTTAAGTATTTGACTCAGCTAACCCCCACATGTATTACGCCTGTTTTGTTTCATTTTATTCTTCTTTTTCTAATTCAAACGTGATAGTACTATTTATTTTATCCACTTATTCTATTATATTATTATCTTCTATTATATTCCTGTTAACACTTCGATTGTTAAGAAATACACTTTTTTCATCTCCTGTGATACCCTACTAAATGTGGTAGCTTACGACAACGGAGTCAAAAACGCAAAAAATTGCATGTAAAATAGTACAATATAAGTCAAATTCTTTAGGATAAAACTTAATCCTCTCCCTCATCCCCGTAGGAAAGAATTTCGAAAAATCCATTCTTAGTGTGCGTTCTCGTGATGTACTCTAACTGTGTGCTAAATTTCAACTTTTAACTCCTAACCGTTTGGGCTCTGCGCTTATTATTATTATTATTATTATCAATCCATCACGATTATATATATATAGATTATAAATATAATTGTGTGAAGAATATAGTTGTGACATTGTACTATCTTCATAAATAATTTTAAAAATTTTATGTACCTATTTTTTTATGTAGGTAATAATCACAATCCAAAGATATCTTAAAAGGAGAAACCGAATTGTCGTACTTTGTAATACTTTAACATATAAATTCGACATTGAAGAATATTACAGCGGTATATCCTGGCCCCACTCCAGACTATTAACGCTAGTAAAGAAAGTTATTCTGTGAGCCAAAATTAAGTATCTGAAGTAGTAAAAGCATCCTGATTCATCAGCAAATTAACAGGTTATAATTCTATTTTGTTGCAGTAAATCATTTTTGGCTGACTTGACTGTAGCTCATGGAAATGTGCGCCTCTGTACGACAGAGTCAACGTGCTACTCGACTTTTTCACTTACGTTTGGATGTCCAATTCGTGGGCATTCGCGAAGTCTAGCGACCATTATTAACGTTGTGTAAGAATCTCTCTTTCTCAAAACACTAGGACAAGGCACATGAAAATGTTGGTGTTTGATACACAGATTGGCTTGTCCTATCTGTGTACCAAACACCTACATTTTCATGTGTGATCCCGTTCAATTGCACTGTTCTAGCATATTAAAACTCTTATTATCAAATTTATTTTGCGTTGAGATTAGATGTCTCGACACTACTCATTGACAGATTGAAGCTAACCACAGAGTTCTAATATTGTGAATAAATGTTCTCTAATTCTATAACGTTGAAAAATTAATGTGTTTATGCACTTAATCTGTGTTATGTAGAGTTTATATATTGTTTTTCTATAATCTCCATATAATTCAGAAATAGGTTACTTTTTTTTGTTAATTATCAATTAGAAAAAGTTCTAAACTTCATGAAAATAATTGAAAATTTATTACTGATTTATGTTTGATTTAAATCACTACAGTTTTGAACTTTAAATTACGTGTGTGATTTTGTCACTAAAATTAAAATTTCAATCACATATATAAAATCTTTACGAGCAAACGAATCAAAATAGAATAAATTTGAAAGGAACAATCATAAAAAGAAAAAATATTTCAATGTTTTCACATTGAAGATGATTCTTAATGATACTTTTTCATGTGTTCTTGCAGAGAAAGTTCGTTGTCAAATTTAACTTGACACAAGACACATTCCAATTCATATCGATCGATTCTTACTTCTGAGAACAGATCGAAAGATGTCGATGGTACCACATCTGTTTCGAAGGTAGTGTCTTCATGGATGTCTTCAGGGTCATTTGATATGTCGCTCTTCATTTCAGAAATGATTTCTTCACGTTGTTTTCGTTCTTCGTCGGAATCGATTGCTGCACTAAAACAGGGATCAAATTCTTTTCTTTTCCTCTCACTTATAACGTCCCTAATCGTCTTTTACATCCTGTAGATATATTCGATAAAATTCACTATACACTCTGTTTACATCTTTAGTATTTTTCAAAAAAATATTTGCGTGTGTAACACAAAAACTTTAATGATTTTACATTCCTGAATATGTATAAATAAAACATTATTCACTACAGCTGCTGAGTGTCTGTTGCTATCATCGTAATTTATCATTACATATTCGGGGCTATTCAAGTAATGGGCATGAAAGCACTTTGTTACTGACTCGCGAAAATATTTGGCTGCGATTTGAAAAAACTATAGACCTAAAAATTCCCACTATCATCCGTCTGTTCATTTGTCTGTTATTCATTGCATAATTTCGAGAACGGAGTTAGATATGAAAGTTCTAAGGCAGGTGGTCTCGATTAATTTCGTTTAAAACTTTATAATTATATATATTTCGTTAATAAAACTATGTAAAAAGTAGTTGATTCGTTTTTTGAAACCGTGTTTTCGTATTTATTTACTATTGAGCACAAGACGCCAAGTGTTTTAATAACAACACAGTCTTGTGTTCAATAGTAAAAAAATATGTAAAAAGTGTTTAAAAGTGCTTTTTAATATACGTTAATTTATTACATTAGTTCATTTTAATCATCTAACTTGTGTCGCGAGATTATTTTTACCCGAGACAGTTTGCACCGTAATTTTAGGTGAAAATTAGTGTTGTAACTAGAGGATTTGATCCCGGGATCTCGAAAATCAGGATCCCGAGATCCCGACCACTTTTCAATCCCAAAATTTTCGGGATTAAGTTTTCCTAATCCCGAGATTTTCGGGATTGACATAATTTAAAAAAAGTTGCAAAATAGACTGCATGAAGCGTAACGTTCAGTGCCAGTGCTTTTAACAGAATTGCTTGCCTATCATTTTAATATAAAATATGAGAAATTTTATTCCAAGCAAGCAGCAGAAATTAACCTAGCGGGCTTGCGATGCTTGCTTGGAATAAAACTTCTTGTATTTTGAACTAAAATGATAGGCAAGCAGTTCTCACTGGATTACTTGGTAATATACTTCATTTTTGTATTTTTGAATTTTCGCAGGCGCCAATCGATTTTCTGGCACAGTCGAGAGCACTACTCACTGCGTTTTACCTGTCAATGTGTCAGCCATCTTGTTTTGCCAGTGTGGTTAATATAGACCCGACGCCTCTCGCTTAGAGGGGTCGATCTTAGGTGAAAAGGTTATGACCCTCGCCTTGCCCGCGATCTGTCAGGATGATGCGAGAAAGTCTTTTTACGTTTC